GAGAGAGAGAGAGAGAGAGAGAGAGAGAGAGAGAGAGAGAGAGAGAGAGAATGGAGTTTTATATTAATTAAATTTTTCATAATACTTTTTTGACATTAATAAAATAATTTTGCTACAAGGTATTTATAAGAAAAAAATTGTGTTTTTAAATATTATAAGCGAGCTAATTGGATTTTACATTATCAGGCGAAGAGAATTATGACTGTGCATAAATAGGACTAAATTCCCATTTCATACCTCATTTCTATTTCATGATTAAATACTTTAAATATACCATTCACGTGTATATTAAAAATCTTTCTCGTTACAAAAATATTCATTCTCATAATCACAATTTCTTTGAAAAGTGACTTAAGCGACATTTGCGGAATCTCTCTTAAGTGCTCGTACTGAAAATGGCTTGCCAAATCTCAAACGATCATCGCATTTTTCATTCTTCCGTGACCTAAAATCTCACTTACCGAAGTTTCCGCTCGGATGCGTCCTCTTCCACCTTATTATCTTACAAACGCGAATCCGGGAAGATCAATCGTGCGGATCCTGGACTTTTAGGTTCTACGCCGAGGAATGGTCCCCCTGCAGCGTTACTTGCGGCGAAGGTGTCAGGCACAGAGAGGTGATCTGCCAAATATACCTTGACATCAGCAAAACCAAGGCCAAGTTACCGGATAACCACTGCTCGGGCCCGAAACCCGTTGAGACCGAGAAATGCACAGTGCCGTGCGTGGAGGGCAACAACAAACTGCCGTTCAAGATCGAGGAAATCGGCGAGACATACATCAACGGTAATATTTATGGTAGATCGTCGGCGGGAAGTTACACCGGAACTGATTACGACACCGGTATCAAAGTTATCCCAGGTAGCGATTCGCAGACAACGTACTCGTGGAAGGAAGATGGCTTCACCTCCTGCAGCGCCACTTGTTTAGGAGGTAACAGACCGGCGATTATTGTTGTTTGTCAAAATTGCTTTTGATATATTCCAGGATCAGTCTTTCCCCTCTCCTTCCCCCGTTGAACTTTTAAGAGCGATCCGAGTGGTTCGTCTCGCAAAATTCGACTTGTCACATCTGGATTTTGAATTATACAAAGTTCAGTTTTATCTGAAACTCGATTAACGTACGATGATTCGACGATGCTAATGAAGAAGAACTTTCGAAAGTTATCGCGTTTTGAAAATTAGAAAGTCTTTTACACTCAAATTCACACATGTTCTGTACACACACAAAAGATCCTGCTCTCTCATTATAACTTTCACGCGCAGAAAAAATAATCTTTTTTTTTTCTTTTTTTAATTGCTTTACAGTTCTTTTACGCAATATTTATTATATAAACGCGCGCGCGAGGAGATTCGAGGCATTGCGCAGTTCGCGCATTAATTGTTTCAGAGAAAATAGGATTAGCGAAATGAATTTAACTCGCCATATAGTTCTCAATTAATCGGGCAAAATCGATGTGTCATTGTGTAATTAACAACAACGCTCAGACGTAATCGTATTAAGATTAGTCCGTGTTGGGCACAAAGGAAGCGAACAGGCGGGTTATACCTGTACTTTATGGAACACGTGTGTGTTGTACACAGACATGTATATGCATATACATGCGTCTCTTCTAGGTGTTCAGGATCTTATCATAAACTGCGTGCGCGACGACACCGGAAAACCCGTAATGCCGCTTCTATGCACCCCGGAAACGAAACCGGAGGCCAGGGTACGAGTTTGCAACGACCATCCGTGTCCTCCCAGGTGAAGCAACAAGATATCGATCGGTTTAATGTTAGAACGCTTCGTGTTACATAATGTTTGAGTTCTGTTTAATCCCGTGCGCAGCTTCAAGTTGCCGTAATATTTCACTATCTTGCAATTAGTCTACTGTTCCGCTAAATAAGCAAATTCGTGTGTTTCTGTTAAGCAGTAATTTTAATTGAACAAGTGTTTATAGTTAGAAAAACGTTTGCGAGACGTAGTTTTGAAATAAGAAGAAAATTTATTAGTTTTGTTTTCATCTCTTTGAACAAATTACCGACTTTTCGTTTCTTTTTTCATCTTGCAGTTCTTATTTTCACATTTTCTCTCGTTCTTATAATTTAGAGCTCAAATTGCAGACGTCTTAAAATTTATTTATATATATATATATATATTGTGGCGCAAGCGCGCGCATCTCTCGAGTACACCATATTCGCACGATTCGTCTTGACAAATGCGTCATCAACTGCACCCGCAGGTGGAACTACAGCGAGTTCTCCACTTGTATGAGCCCCTGCGGTATTGGTATACAGACGCGTGATGTCACCTGTATTCACGAAGTGACACAAGGCGGCGGGAAGGCGGTAGCCGTGCCGAATTCAATGTGTCCGCAACCACCGCCTGCCGACAGACGATACTGCAATGTCTGGGATTGCCCTGTCAAATGGAGTACGGGAGAATGGGGGAAGGTATATGTACATATATACACACACACTTACACATTATATTTGAAGCTTGTGTAACATTAATTAGAAGAGGCTCTTTCTCACGTGAACCGTTGCGCGGAAGAGAAATTACATGCCGTTGCTTCAAGTCAGATCCTTCAAGTTTGAGTTAATACGTATGAAGATAGTTTATTTGATTAATTTTCAATAAAACAACATGAAAGAGTGTTTTGTGCGTTCTAACAATTTTCTGAACTTCGAAAACGTAAAATGATTGGATAATTTTAGTGTTCGAAGACATGCGGCGGTGGCGTGAAGAGGCGCGAGGTGGTCTGCGAACAAATAATGGCGCAAGGTCGCAAACAGAGTCGCGAAGAACGCGAATGCACGTCTCAAAAGCCGCAAAGTGAGAAGCCCTGCAACACCAGAGCTTGCCACGACTCGGGCGTGAGCGTGTCGCCGATAATCACCAGTTTGAACGCTCAAACGTACAATCAAACGGATATCAACGCAAAAGTGGACTTGAGAGTCGGCGGTACCGCTTGGATTTTTCAGGGAACATCTTCCATCAAAATTCGTTGCCCCGTTAAAAAGTTCGACAAGTAAGTAATGCGAGCGCGCGTGTAGTTTCTGAAGAAGCAATATTTAAATAATTGCGATTGAAGCGATTATCTTTGCTTATAACAACAATATTACAGAGCACAGATTACATGGAAGAAGGACAAGAAGGAAATACGAAAATCGAGAAAATACAAGATTAGCAGGAAGGGAGCTTTGAAGATAATCGATATAACTACCGCGGATGCGGGGATCTATGCCTGTATTGGTAAGCGATACGTCTCGCCTGTCATGCTCTGGGTTCTGTCCGGACTTTCAATACATTGCCGTGAAAAATGTGATGGTAATTTTTTGTTATAGCGGGAACTTCGCAGGCGGAGACGCAGTTGATAGTGAAATTTCGCTCCAAAGAGCAGATAAGTAGCGAGGAATATTTACGACTCGGTAATTCCGTTCACCTACACCGAAACGCGAATCTCGATTCTGCGCCAGCAAATTCCGGAGAAAGTTCTTACACTGATCACGCAGGTAAGCAACGTGCGAATTTTCGCGAAATAAATTTATGCAAATTTATATATATACACACACACACACACACACGCACGTAATTAGTCGATCTTAAATTATTTTTTTGTCTAAATTCAAGATTTTGAAAAAAATATATATCTGTTTTCTCGAAAGTTACATAAATAAAATCTTATTTTTACAAACGTTGATTTTTTAGCGGCAGCTTACGGAAATCGTTTTGACAACGAGGACGTCAGCCATGAGCGTGCGTTTCCCAGCAGCAAACCAACAAGGAAACCACATCAAAAGAAGCAGAAGACCAGTCCCGCTCCGTCAGATGCCACGATGATGCACGCTGTTACTTCTCAAAACCAGGTAAATGAGAAAATTCTATTTGCAAATTTTTTTCTCTTCTCCTCACTCACTCTCTTTCTCTCTCTTATACGTAATAAGTTCCTGTGTGAATTTTTGACATGTAATATAAATAGGATATATGCATGTATTTTATTATACTAATTCTTTGTGATGGTTCTTCTTTGCATTCCTGGATTAAACTTTCCTTGTGGTGTTGGGCTATTCGATATTTAACTATCAATTAGCCGGTACATCACGAACCCATAGAATCCGTTGCGTCAGGCGCTTCTACTCTCGTGCCGCACTTGAGTTATTTGATATCGAACTTGAAGGTAAGACAAACGCGAACACAAACTTGAAATTGTAACATAATTTATGTGTGTGTTTCTTTCTGTTTATATATATTATATATATAAAATTTAATAAACATAAAATTTAATCGCAATATAAAACGTTATATTCCGTTTATATTCATTCATCAAATTTTATTTCAACACATTAACGCGCTTGATGTCAGGCCTATTGGCCGTTTCGCAGCAATATAGCCGCGACTGGTAATCACAAGACCGTTTCCACGTCAATTGTTCGGGACGAACATAAAGGGACGGCGGCGACGAAGCATGGAATGTCCGATAGAAAAAACGACTTGATGTACCAGAGTATAGACGATAGCTTTGACAGTTTATATCGCAACACAGTCATCCCCGACGAGATCTTCGGCCCAGACGAGGAGCGGATATTTATTGATGATTCTTACGACCTGGACGAATCTGTATTCGAACTGCAGCGCGGCGACGGCACTAAATTGATGCCCGATGTAATGGAGAAAGTGGATACCAAGCTCACCACGAAACCCGATATCGATTATCTCGAGGAGTCGCTGAAAAATGTGAAAAGGCAATGGCAAGAGTCGAGAAACGAGTACAGAGGTCAGTGGAGTACCACCACACCCAAGAATCACGTTCGAAGCGGAGTCATAACGGAGTCGGTCACGTCTTCGGAAAGCGATGCCATAGATGTGTACTACGTTGAGGACTCAAGTACAAGAAAGGAAACGCTCGAGGAGGATGGCGATTTCGCCGACGACAATAATAAATCCATCAATCACAGCGTCCGTGAAAACTCGAGAACTGAAGATTCATTGACCGTCACCTCGACGTTAACATCGAGAAATCTCGAGAATCAGTTAAGGATGTCGAGACCGGACCATCGTAGCTCGAGCCGCGCGAACAGAACGATTGAATACCACGACGCTTTTGAGGAGGAATCGGATGAGAAAATCGAGCCGTACGTCGAGAATCGTACAACGGATTATACAGTCGTGCGATTTCCTGCTAGCAGAAATCTGGAAAATAGAGCGAGGGAAGACTCGACGTTGATAGATGATCAACGTCCGGGAAGCGTTGAAGGGGAGAATCTTGAAGAAGACGTGAGAAAAAACTTATCTCGCAATCGGGAAGATCACGACGGTTCTATGGAGGAGACTTTCTTGGTTCATCTAAAAGAGGTCTCCCGAAAGGAGCAACAATCGACCGATGGAAACACGAGTGTTTTAATCTCTACTATAATAAGAGAAAGCGAAACAACGAAGGATCCTACTATAGAGTCGCTCGCTGCATTAGGTAAGATGCTCTTTGATAACTTACATTATCTTGATGAAGATTGATGGGAAGATTGGTTTAATTATAAATGCTTGTTATGTAGCTATAGATACCATAGATAATCTGGTAGTTGAATGGGTCACGACCGATTGGTCCCAGTGTTCTCAAACCTGCGGGGGAAGTGGATTCCAGGTAAAATCCGTTCTTAATTAATTGGAAAATACCTTTAAAAGTCATTTGTTTTGTGAAAGAATATTTACGAAACAATTATCGTGTTAAGAAATTGTCTAAGAGATGCTTACAAAGTGCGACAAAATATGTGTGTGCGTATTTAAAAATTCAAAAAATATGCTTGTGATCTATCTTTTCTTACTTTTCAAATTACGTATTTTAATTTTTTTTTTTTTAGCACTATACTCTTCAAAATGTGGAATTTGTATATTTTCACAGATGCGAGGCGCGCAGTGTACAGTGCGATCGAAGACAGAGAGCAACTCCACGCAAATTTTACCAAAGACCGTGATTGGCGCAAAGTTGTGCGAGGACGCCGGGTTTCCGGTTCCTCAAAAAGTGAGACCATGCGGAATAGGTAGGTGTCCTCAGTGGCACACCACGGAATGGACTCCGTGTGAAACGTCCAGATGCTTTAACTGGAAGACAGCGATGCAGAAACGAGACGTTACCTGTCGATTGGTGGAAGACACGGAGGACGGTCGGGAGAACATAACGTTATTAGATCCGAGCAAATGCGATGAGGCCAGGAGGCCGTTGCAGAGACAGGAATGTTACAACGATGCCTGCAAAGGCGTCTGGAGAGTCGGCGAATGGACTGAGGTATATAAGATTAAAAAATAATTTTTCATGAAAAAAAACGACGAGATGTGTGTGTGTGACACATCTCTTTTTCTTTTGCACTACGCTAACAATTTTCTTCAAAACAGTGTACAGCGTCTTGCGAAGAAGATGGTATTAAATATAGGATTCTACAATGCGTTTGGTACGGGACGAAGAAGCCGGCCGGGAACGCCTGCAGAGATATATCGCGACCTTCTGTAATGAAGACGTGCAGAGGCCCACCTTGCCCTCAATCTCCCGGTAGGTTTTATTTCAGAAGAGAAAATGCAAGATATAAGATTAAAAATATTCGATTCAACTAAAACATCGTAATTAATTATTTATGAAAAAATTATTTTGTCACAATACTTGCAGAAGATTGCAGAGATCGTTCGCAGCTGTGCAGCACAGTGAAATCGATGAGTATGTGCAAAGTGCCGCTGTACAAGAAACAGTGCTGCGCAACGTGTCGCTAGATCCGGGTTAATTGCAAGTGACTCATTGTGAGAATTAGATAAAATGAACGACGATAAAGAGTGCGCGTGACACAGAGTGAAAAATCACAATTGGCTGAACAATTGATTTATGACATGATATATATATATACATATATATATATATATATATATATATATATATATATATATATACAAACGCACCCAGGATGCCTGTTGTTAGCAAATTACATAACACGCGAGAAGAAAGCGCGTCACTGTGAAATAATATTGCACAGTATTACGACATCCGATATATAGATAAAGAAAAAAAGAATATCCAAGAAAGAGAAGTTGACCAAACCTACTTCGCTGTAATAGTTTTCTCGTCGTACCGTTGAGAGAGACACCTCATTCACCTTTTTGCCTCGAATGTTCCTCGTGTAATAAAAGAAACACCCGCCAATCTTAACAGTTTCTATCTAATTAAATTATAATTTTCTAACGTACGTCGCACACACATGCGGTGATTTGGCGCGATATCTTAATTGCGCTCGCTCATTGCTCCTAGTCGAAGAGAAGCGAAGATCTGGCATTCGTCCAAAAAAAAGTTGAGAACGTTATATTGTTATAGCTCGATGAAAGGACGATAGAAAAATCCATTCCTACGTCCTGAAAAGAACATTATTGCGACGTTAGAAATAAAATACGTTATGAAAAAAACAATACATATATTGTCAATGTTGGTGCTTTAAAGTCGCACGGAAAAATGATTTTAAGCAGAGAGAAATGAGAGAGAGAGAGAGAGAGAGAGAGAGAGAGAGAGAGAGAGAGAGAGAGAGAGAGAGAGANAGAGAGAGAGAGAGAGAGAGAGACAGAGAGATTCAAATTTTAATTAAGTAAGTTTGTACTAAGTTTGGAAAGTATTGAGAACAAATATTTATATCGCAAAACATATTAGAAACATTCCGACTTAATGTTGTGTGTTTTTATATCTTTCTTCTGTAGTAATCAAAAAAGAGAGAAGTTTTGTGAAATTTTTAAATCAAGAGAAAAAAAACTATCTCTTAAGACTGAAACTCTGTGTTTCTTTTTGAATATTATTATTCTTCGGCAATGAGATGGAATTTATCACATCTCGAAGTATCATTTAACACATTCCACTATAAATAATTGGAAATTATATATTCGCTCTGTCTGATAAACATATATTTGTTGATACGCTGTAAATCTTTATGTTTGTATAAATTGCGATATAAATTGTGTCTATGAACATAAAATGATAAATGTTATTTAAAAATATATATGAGTTACGCATTTCATTCCAATTAAATTATTATATGCGTCTGTAAGTGATCCATTGGGCGATCTTATGCCAATAGATCGTAAGCAATAAAAATATACAAGTACTGTAATATAATATTTTGTTAATATAATCTCTGGCGAAAATTAGTGAACATGACCATTCCGTTGTTGTTGAGTAAAAAACGTTCCATATTAGTTTACCTATTTCTAATTACTCTGTATCTAAATGTTACAAGTATTTATTTATCGCACGTTTACCCATAGATCTTTTTATTGGAACGCGATGTTTTCAATAAAATTATTCTTTGTGCAGATATTGATCAAATATAAAATATATAAAGACAACATTGCCTCTCTTATATATTATATATATATATACATATAAATAATTATATATATAATTATTACATATATATAATTATATATAATTATATTAATAATCATATTTTTTTATTTGAAGAATTAATTAAATCATAGGCGCTGTCAGAAGTTTCGTAGGAGATGCACTTCATAAAAACAAAAAAAAAAAAAACAATTATACATAGGAATATTTTTAAAATCTAACTCTTACTATAATCATTGTATTAAATAGCAAATAATTATATAAAGAATGCATTGTCTTGTCTTTTATCCCCACGACACGGCGCCTATGAAAATTATATATGTAATATAAATATATTAAATATATACAGTCATTTTATAATTTATGTTATAAGATTGTGAACAGATTTTCGCTGTCAACGAATTTGCCTCGAAACAGCTGAGCAGTTTGCCAAAAACTGACGTTAAATAAAATAACACAAATTAGTATACTATTAAAATCACAATTTAAAAAAATGTATACTGAAAGCTACGTAAATTACTGAGACGCACTTTGTATAAATAACTTTATACAAAGAAAGTACACACAGTGAATAATATCAAGCACATTGGATGCGTTGTAAGTCGAAAAATTTCTTTTTTAATTACGCATTCCTCAAGTAAGAGAAAGTAAATGATTTGCAATGTATCCTATAATACATACGGCTAAGTGAACGCAATAAATATGTAACTACCATCGGCTTGCCGTGTCGTGTTTACCATACCTGTCATGTTTTAGTAAATATTTAATACACACAAAACTTACCATTGTATAGCGATACAACCGCAGAGCGTACTACTGATGATCGATGAACAGTGTAGACCCAAGGAACGGAGAAAAAGAGAGATGTTATTTTCCGGTTAACGTAAACGGTAACGAGGTATATATGATAATTCTTAAAAGGCAGATGATTTCCGACACCGTACACTTTTGTATATATCACGATGTAGGTATGTAAAATGGCTCCACACTTAGTATTGTACGTAAGCATTATTGTTCATGACATCTATGTAAATATGTAACTGCCTAAAATGCGAATAAAAACAAGAGGATATATCACACTGCACATCATATTGCAGTTATTTTCTTTAAATTCGATTATGTATTTAACAAAATTTTACGAAGAAGATTAAAGTTGCTTTTATTTTCGAGGCTTCAAAAAACAAAACATTATAATTAATATTATAATGTTATAAAAAATATTTGTTTCTTTTTTTATTATATTGTTTTATTTCATATATAATATATATATATATATATATATATATGTATATAATATAATAATATAATATACGTCATCATATATGTGTGTAATCAGAATTGCATTTTGAAAACTATTGCTTTCGTAATTGACGTTGTTTTTTTTTTTTTTTCAATAATGTGTGAACATCTCGTGCAAATAACATCCAAATATATAAGTTGAAACATAAAAAATAAAAAACAAAAACCAAAAAAGTTTATAACTGCAAAATTCAACTTTTCACAATTACTTGTACGGCACTTTTTTCCGACAAGCTTTTTGTCATAATAAAAAAGAAACAGAATATAAGGCAAAAAAACAGTGTGTATACAAAAGTTTGCATACAAATCTAAGACTACGTCTCAAATTATTGACCTACGATGCGTGACAAAATACACCTAGAAGTAAACCTTTTGTGAAATTAGAATTAACACTTATATAAAACTCTACTCAAGATGAGAAAGCAGACTTCGCGTTTCAAATAGTAATTTGTCATTGCGCAATTCAACAAATTGATTGTATCCATCGCTTTCATGTGTTTGTTTAATTCAATCCCCAAGCTTTCATCACTTCATCTTGACTCATAGGCCACAGTCTCTTCAGAAGCATCCATCCGGTTTTTTGCGTGCTCAGCAAGTAATTATTTTCGGGATCGTGCAGGTGTGAGTAAGCGCCCATTACCAGACTCTGACACATTCTCGCGCATACGCTGATCTTGAGAATCTTTCTTTCTGTAGCGGATAATTTTCTAATCTCTTCGTAGCCCTCCACAACGTGTCTACCCATCGCTACATCGGCCGCTTGCAAAATCATGTAACACAGAACTATAGCAAGTTCAAAAATGAGACAAGTTCTGTGAGTGTCTCCGAAATCGATCACAGCAACAATGTCTTCGCCGCCGGGATTTACGATGATATTATGTTCATTTAGATCACCGTGTATAATCCCTTGCTCTAACTGGTCCGTAATCGGCAGCACATCCCTCTCGAAACTTACGAGCACGTCGTGCACCAGCTGCTTGTCCAACGAGCTCTTGAGAGCGTACGTGAACTGCTGTATTCGCGGCGCCGAAGTCAACATCCACAGTGTTTTGTGGTCATCGTAAGCGGGATGATCGAAGCCCATGAGAATTTTATCGATTCTGGCAGTGTAGGTGCCGACCTTGCGTAGTAAATTCGCAGTTATTTTCATACTGTGTAAAAGCTCACCGGGACGATAGATCAACAGTTTTACGGCGTACTTCTCCATTGTGTTCTCGCTCTTTAAATTCTCGAGAGAGAAATAAGCGCCGTTCATGTTCTTGACCGGTAAAGGGCAACAGATATCTCGCTGATTGAGGAAGATCATCATTTCATTCTGCGCCTCGATCACACCGGTTTTTCGGGAATCCAAGGAGTTAATCACCTTGAAAACGTAACCCGTCTTCTCCGGATTAATCACGTGTGGATTCACGTGCGTTTCTTCACAAAATACGTGATAATTTCGGTCGTCGTAAGCGTTTATTTCGCGCACGCTTGTCGCCCTCATCCCATAAAGTCGCTCCAGCAGAGTAACTACCGTCTCCTCGGTCATGGGCGGACGTATGCGATGACCCGGTATCAGCAGTGTGTCATTATACTCCATGTTGCGGTACAAAAATAACCGGCGAGTTATTAAGGGGGAGAGAAGCCGGTTCGGTGAAAAAGAGAAATATATCTTCCACGGCAAAGAAGAGACGCTGGAATAAAAGCTCGGTTGGGGATATCTTCTTTGTTTCTTTTTCTTCTAATGACTAATCATTAAATTGTATAGTTTGATGATAAACGATTATGAGATGGTGTGTGTCACGCTGAAAAATTTAACAAATAATGACGTAAATATATAAAAGTTAAGTTGAATTAAAAAAATGTCAAGACAGAACAGATAAGAAATTCAAAATAGTACAAAGTTGACAAATGTATATTTTAACTATATATATTTCAACTATATATATATATATATAT